GCGCAATGGCAAGGCCTGATGGGATCAGGCGGGGGGCCGACTGCAGCTGGAATGCCGACATAGCCAAGTTTGCTGATATGCTCCCCGGGCATGCTAGCAGAGCCGCCGACGACATCCACTGCCAGAAGGGAGCAACATCGTACACCACATCCGAGGGAGCATTTATGGCGAAACCTACGGCGACGACAGAGCCCCCATGGCCTGGGAAGTGCATTCCCCAGGGGGGCTCGGCGACAACTGCGCGCAGGGAATCCGCGCGGAGAGTGACCTTGCCGACAGCAGCGAGGCCGTCAAAGTCAACTGGGGCCAGGACTGCTTCGCTGACGACGTGCACGGCATGACAGATACGTCCTCCGAGGTGGCGTTCTGCAGCATCGCAGATAACCAACACGAGGATGGCAAGCAGCTGACGACCGATTGCCATTACGGCGACGGTGGCCACGTCGACCCCAACGACGAGCGTAGCGTTAGAACGCAGGGCGTCAGGGCGCGCAGCGTCAGAACGCACGACTGGAGAACGCTTGGCGTTAGAGTGCAAAATCCAGGGGATGGCCTCCCCGGGTACACGTCGCCGCGCGCTGGAAGACGCTGCGGAGCCAGGGAGCAGCAGCGGGGGGCGAAGGCACCGCTGGAGCCCTCGCCGAACCAGGCTCGGTACATCCTCCTCCTCCTCCTCCTCCTCCTCCTCCTCCTCCTTGGATCCTTGGCACCGTGCGGGCGGGTAGAACGCAGCTCCCGCCGTCGTGCTCGGGCTCGCGCGGCCGATCGCTGCCGGGAGCCGCCAAGACCACGGGAGGGCCTCCCGGGCACGCGGTCGCAGCTTGCTGGAATCGAGCGCCCTCCTCCTCCTCCTCCTCCTCCTCCGCCTCCTCCTCCTCCTCCTCCTCCTCCTCCTCCTCCTCCTCCTCCTCCCCCTCCTCCTCCTCCTCCTGGAATCGAGCGCCCGCGGGAACACCTCGTCGCCCCACAGCCCCACAGCCCCACGGTGAAGGCGGAAGGTGGCGCCGTGGAGAGGTCTGAACGGCATCGGCTTCGGGGCCTACTCTGCTCTGTATCACGTGCGTGGCTACATCCTGAGCCTGCTGCGCACGATGAGTCTGATGTGCGAAATGGATGGAAGAGGTACTTCATACCATGTGACTTTCGTGGTTTGGGATCAGTTGCTTTCCTTCCCATGGTCAGGCGAGTGGCTGAGATCCAAGGATGTGACCACTTCGAAGCCAAAATGGTCATTGCCCGCGATGTCTGCAGCCAAGCATGGGCTGGACAAGCGAGGACACGGTACCATTACGCGCAGTCCTTGTCGCGGCTGCGTCAGCATGATCAGAACGACTACGACGAGACAGTCCACCGCCATGTAGACCGGCAGCGAGCCACGGCAGCATGGATGGAGTCCAACGCTCAGCCGAGGCGACGCCAGCACGATGATGACAGTGGGGTCGACGCCAGTGCCACGGCCGATGCTATGACGACATCTGCCCCCTCCACGACTGCGGCAAGTACGTCTGTGCCAGGGACCACGGATACTTCTGACGCCTCGGACCCTGCTGCAGAGCAGGCGGCGAGGCCAGGTGACGTGCAGACTCCAGCCTCCTCCCCCCCGGCCTCCTCTAAGGCGCCCGGCAGGGGCGAGGGGAGATCTAAGAGGCCCAGGAACGCGAGGGGGGACGAAATCTGGAGGTTCTTCTCGTCGAACGCTAACTCTTGGGCCAGCTTTCAGGACAGCCTTGAATGGCAACCCACGTCCGGGGCGACCAGCCTGACCTCTTGGCTGGACACGAAACGCGTCTGGAACGAGGCGACCCAATTAGTGGTGCGGAGTCTTGGATTGGCTACAGAGGCAACAACTTCCATTTCGCCCCTGCTGTCAGCACGGGTGACCACATGTGACCACGCCCTGGCCACCTCGGCGGGAGTATTTTCTGGCATGAGGAAGACAGTTGTCTCTCGCGCAGCTCCTGGCGCCCAGCTCGGACAAGGGCCAGTCGCTGATGGCTGAGTGGCAGTGCAGTTCGCGCAAGCAACCGTCACTACTGGCATATATTGGATTTCCAAACATGGGTACACAGGGGCTGGGTGTTCTGGACTAAACTTACAGCTTCTTGAAGGTTTGACGCGTTTCCTGGAGACCCTGACCACTCCCTGGACTATTTCCGGAGATTTCAGTATGGATGCGAGTTTGGATGGGCTGCACCGCTGGTGTGAACTCCTAGGCGCACCAGTGGTGGCCCCCACTTGGCCTACGTGCTACAAACAATGCATATTTGCTTGTCGTCTCGCAGGGCATGGCCAAGGCGGTCAGGTCTGGGACGGGATTGCACGCTGCGCCCCAGTCACCCCACGTACCCATCCTCCTTGAGCTCCAGGGATTCACCTTGGACCAGACGGTCTGGATTCGGAAAGCTTGGATGTTATTCCCTACTCAGAGACCGATTGGATGTGTCAGGCAGGCGAAATGGTCTTGGGATGCTGGGCAGGTTCCTGAGGAACTAGGCCTTGAAGAAGCTTGGGGAGGATGGCTCACAAACATGGAGATCAACCTTTGTGAGCAGCATGACGTCATGGGGACCGCCAGAGCCACATACACTGGCGGAGCCCAAGGTCTCCAGACGGCCTCGGTCCAGCTCCACACCATCCCAGAGCGGAAATGGCATGCCAGCAGCACCCCGAAGCTCAGATGCTGGAGAGCGTTGGAGGCGCTCCTCCTGAGGGTTAAGCGGTTTGGGGATCACCCTGGTCCGCCTGATCCTCCTCTCCTCCCTCCTCCCTTCTCCCTCCTCCCTCCTCCCCCCCTCCATCTCTGGTTCCTCCTCCGTCCTCCCCCTCTTGGGGTATGGCGGCTTCCCAGACTTTCTTACACGGCGTGCTCCCCCGCACGCCTGATCAGGACAACTCGCCTGGACATCTTTTATCGATGGGTTGAAGTTCCGCGAAGCGTCTAGAACATGTCGAATGTTAGTAAACCTACGAACGTTATACGTTTTGGTCGGTAGATTCAACTAACTTTTCAATCTAGAGGTAAATCAATTCTGCAGTCGATCTCCTACTCGAATAAGAAGCCATTGGATGAGAAGACCAGGGGTCGGAAAGCCGGGTGAAGTATCAATTGAGGCTTCGCTACGGGTATCACCACCGCCCGTATCAAGTAAGGAATCCTCCGGGTCTGAAGCCTCCTGGGCTCACCTTGACCTCGGCTCCACCGTACTTTCACTGATTTCTGGCTTGCAATTGTCAACTGTATGATACGAAATGCACCCCGCACGATGCGAGAAAAAATGGGCGGACATACACGCCTCAATAACGCAGGGCGGATGTTCCCGCAGAGGCAGGCGGAAGAAAAGCGACGGCAAAGCAGTGCGGACATCGACACCCGAAGAGCCTGAAAGGTGATGCGGACAGTTCCACCCTACTCAAGGATTCGGGGCCCCAGAACGGTGTAGCGACGGACCGCATGATGACCTCTGAACACGCGGTCCGTCACCGCACGGTTTGGGGACCCTGGAGGCCCCAGTCTCCCGAGACGTCCTCGGAGAACGGTACGAGTCCCAAAACCGCGCGGCGACCCCGAAACGACACTGACTCACAACGCGGTATGGTCACCACACCGTGTGAGGGTCCCCGACGCCTGGTGGTTTGCCGGCCATAACTAAGGCCTCAAACGGCCGTTCGGGACGATCCGGGCACCTCCGGAAAGCTGTCGGCGAGGCGCAGCTGCAGGAAAGCACCCCGAGGCTGGAAAATCGCCGAGAACCGACGTGCACCATCCGATCCGAGCCGATCCGACTCACCACGCGGCGTGGTCACCCTTCTGATTTGGGACCCCCGAGCGACATCGCCCAGAGCACGGCGGATCCGGAGCCGGGCGCCCGCGGGGGGGGGGGGGCGGCCGCCGACTCCAGCCCGGGCGTGGCGGAGGAGACGGGCCCTGCATCGTGGGCTGGGGCCTCCCGCTCGGCACGGCACCCTGCAGCCCTCGACGTGCGCGCCGAAGGCGCGGAGCCCTCGGCCCGGGAGGCTCTGGGCGACCCCCGGCGGCAGGCACTGCGGGCCCGCAGTCGTCGGCAGCGAGGGCAGGAGGCGCGCATCCTGCAGAGCCCGAGGCGCAGGAGCCGCAGAGCTCGCAGCATGGCAGCCGCAGGACCCTCCTCCTCCTCCTCCTCCTCCTCCTCCTGCTCCTCCTCCTCCTCCTGCTCCTCCTGCTCCTCCTCCTCCTCCTCCTCCTCCTCCCTCCCTCCTCCTCCTCTCCCCCTCCTCCTCCTCCTGCTCCTCCTCCTCCTCCTGCTCCTCCTCCTCCTCCTCCTCCTCCTCCTCCTCCTCCTCCTCCTCCTCCTCCTCCCCCTCTTCCTGCTCCTCCTCCTGCTCCTGCTCCTGCTCCTGCTCCTGCTCCTCCTCCTCCTCCTCCTCCTCCTCCTCCTCCTCCTCCTCCTCGAGTGTGCAGTTGCAGTCGTGAGCTGCCCACAGAGATGCCCGCGACGCCCACCAGCACCGTGCTTACGGCCAGGAGCTGTTGCTTAGCGTGTCGCGGCGGCGGTCCTGGCGACACGTTGTACCCTGCAAGCGAGTCGCGTGTCGCTCCGCACCGCGGGACGGGAGGCTTGGGAGGGTTTGGGACTCTGTCGCGTAGGGACCGCGCGACGCGAAACGGTATGCAAACTGTCCTGACTGTATATAACCCAGCTGGCCAAGAGCATGGCCAACACGAGGACCGCTTGCAGCTGGACCACGGGGCACATCCCCACCTCAATCAGCAAGGCCCCATGAACAGGAGCAGAACCGAACGGCCAGGTTATAGCACCTTCCCCGGCCGAAGGCTTGCGCCCAAGCTCAGCGGCAGCAACCTGCGAGAGAGGATGTGCTGGGCCCAAGACAGAACGAAATCGTTGGTCAGCTCGTGGTAATTATCATTCGCGCAGAGCCCCGATGTGCAGTACAGCCTGAATGACGTGGGGATCCACCGCGAACCGTGCCTCGTCATATTTGTAAATGGCCCCCTGCTGCACTCATATCCCATCTGAACACCGGGCCACCAATGAGGACCTCATATCTTGAGCGAACTGCTCAGTGTCCATGTCCGGTAGCCCACCAGGCGGTCGATAGTGATACTCCCGAAGCCTTGCGCCCAAATTCCCGTTCGAACTGTCGGGCCAGATTCGGAGCAACGCGTGCGTGCACACGTGCCCCTCCTCTGTGCGGATGCACCGGTAAGTCTTGTGACCCGCCGGGGTCTTCAAGTCCCAAGTTTTTCCAATCACAAACGCCTGCACCCAGAGAGGGCCGTCGTCGTCCACCATGGCAATTTCTGGCCCTGCGTAGGCATCACAGGTCGCGAAATCGCTCTCCTTTGCAACCCAAGCGCCGGCCAGGCTGGCCTTCGTGCGGGAGGAGCTCACAAGCCGAGCCCCATTGATGAGCAAAGCGAGCAACGAAGAATCCGCCTCCATGCCTACCAGCACGCAGCGGAGCGGAAAAATGCCACAGGCTGTCATTTTTTGGGACGCCCGAAATGGGTACGGAAAGAATGGGTACAATGCCCAACAACAAATGTTGTCCCAAACCAACAGCGGCCGCTGTTGGGCAGGCGGCCTTCTGTTTCAAATGGACACAGGCCGCGGCGGTGCGTACAGCGAGTCCTGTTCCAAATGAACAGGAACTGCTGTTGGACATTGTACCCCTTCTTTCCGTGCCCACCTCGTGCGTGCAGGATGCCTAACAGCACGCAGCGGAGCGGACAAATGCCACAGGCTGTCTTCTTGTGCCTCGAGGTCCTGCGAGGCTCCCCCGTGCGTGTAGCCCCCCCCTTCCCGAAGCTGCCCCGGCGGCCGGGCGGCTCCCCCGCAGCCTCTCCCAGGCCTCCACAGGGTGGCCTCCGAGACGGCCCGGGGGGAGCCTCCAAGGCCCCCGTTTGCGCCGTCGTGCGGCTCTCTCTGGGGGCCCCCAGAGGGCCGCTTGGGACTCTCCTGGGCTGCCTGGAGGCCCCCCTGGAGCGAGCCCCAAGTGATGCCCCAGACATGCACACTCCTCTGCAGACGCAACTGCGAAAACGAGCAGCTGGTTTTGGTAGGCCCCCCGGGCGGCCTCCAGAGGCTCTCTTCGGGACCTCTTGGGGCCCGCTGGGGGGCGATCTCGAGGTCCTCCGCGAGTGACTCGAAGACGACGACGAGAAAGATCACTGCGCACAACCACCGCCACAGCCAAAATCATTGAAAGCACATGCCGCTGTCAGCCTCAACACGGCGCGAATATTCCTCCTGATAACCCTCACACTCTCCTGCACTTGTCGAGGACCTTCCCTCCTCCTCCTCCTCCTCCTCCTCCTCCTCCTCCTCCTCCTCCCTTCCTCCTCCTCCTCCCTCCTCCTCCTCCTCCTCCTCCCTCCTCCTCCCTCCTCCTCCTCCCTCCTCCCTCCTCCCTCCCTCCCTCCTCCCTCCTCCCCCTCCTCCTCCTCCTCCTCCTCCTCCTCCTCCTCCTCCTCCTCTGCCCAGAGATGGCCCGTAAGGCCCCGACGAGCCCCTGCGAGGCCCCAACGTGCTCTCGAAACCCCTCCGTACGGCTTCGTTAGCGGGTGACACATCCCTGGAGCCCGGATGAAAATCGTCGCACGTTATAGGTCCGGCAGCCCCGCCACGGCGTGCTACGATGGCCTTCTCTGAACTGGTGGGGGGTGGAACTGAGCTGTGTCACGGCCACGTGAGGGCTGGGCGAAGATGCCACATGTTACGGCCCCGTCCGAGCATGGCACGTGGAAGCAAGCAGGTATGACAGTTCGCGGCCTGTCCGGCATGTTCCGCATAGTACGGATTTCTTTGTTGCTCTAGAGAGATCGCCACAAAGGTTGATGCGCTGGCACTGTGGCGGAGTTTGCCGCAGGCACCTGAATAATTGAGCCCATGCGCAAAACCTTGAGGCGTGCCCTGGTTGACATGCACGTGGCCTCCATTGAAATCTTTCAACATCCAATCCTTCGTTGGCGTCGCCAGGTCGGCCCCACCTACAATCGGGAACTTGAAGAAGAGATGGTCGCTAGCAGTACCCAAATGGTCTATCAGGGAAACAACTGTGCTCTCCGGCTCGTCACTCAAGTGCGCACCATGCCCAGGCGAAAATAGGCAGCGAAACGATGGTAACTCCCACAGCTTAGCAAAAGGCTCTTTCCCCACCAGAGACTGCGGCAGGGCGCCGTCGCGCGGACTTGCTCGATGCCCCCAAAACGACTGCACCACTCGTTCGCAAGCCGACCCGCCCAGCAGAGCCGCCTGCAGGCAGGTCTGCGCTCCGGACGGTGCCACGAGGCGCCCAACCGCGCTTGCATGCTCCGCGTGGGCCGCCAGCAGGCCAGTCAGATCTTCCCTCTCGCAGAAGCGGGAGATCCGCTGCACCAGGCCCGGCAAGAACCTCTCGGGCAGCCCCGGGGTCGAGTCTGGCCGGGTGTTGCCAGAAGTGCCCCTGGCCCGAGGTGCCCACCCCCAGGATTTCCAAGGAGGCCCCCACGGCCTCCAGAGCACCCCTCACGAGGAGAAGATCAAAAATGGGTCGTACGCGAGATGACGTGGCGACCTTACGCGGTGACTTGCGCGGGCCGCCCGCGCGGCACGCTACAATGGAGACGAGGGCGCTTACGCGCGAGCTTACGCGCCAATGTCGGCGCAGTTGGACCCGTTTTTGTGCGTCGCGCACCTGCTTGGACGCCCGACATGGGTACGGAAATAATGGGTACAATGCCCAACAACAAATCTTGCCCCCAACCAACAGCGGCCGTTGTTGGGCAGGCGGCCTTCTGTCTCGAATGGACACAGGCCGCGGCGACACCGACAGCGAGTCCGCTCAAAGTGAACAGGAACTGCTGTTGGGCATCGTACCCACTCTTTCCGTACCCATTTCGGGCGTCCAGAACCTGTCGGCTACACGCAAGAGTGACCCTGGGTAAGAGTGACCTTTGGTGCGCGGCTTTTGGGGGGGCCGCGGGGGGACCGAACACAAGCGCGCAAGACGCTACTACTGCATCGCGTTCGGCGATCTGGGGACCAATTTCTGCCCGCACCAAAGGCCACTCCGGCGAAAGGTCACTCTTACGTGTAGTCGAACCTGGGGCCAGGGGCACCTTCTAGCAGCCCCCGATCTGGAGCACCCTCCTGCACGGGCGCCTCTCCGCCCGGACCCGCGCGGGCGCCGCGCGGGCCCCCGCAGCGACCCTGCGGCTCCTCCTCCTGCAGAGCCGCCCACGGGGCCGTCTCGCAGTGGGCCGGAGGATCGCACCGCATGGTCGATGCGCCGGCGACGCCGCGATGGAGAACATCGTGCTCCAGATCGCAGCACACGTCCCAGACCCCCGACGTCGTGATTTTCTCACGACGTCGACCCCCAGAGGTCTGGACCCCTTCCCCGGGACCGGTTTTTCGTTCTGAGTCGTTTTCTGACGCTCCCGAGGCCCGGTAAGGGCCCCCAGAGGCTGAAAATTGTGAAAATCATTACTCGAGGGGGTCTGGGTCGTGCTCCAAATCGCAACACACGTCGCCGATGCGGCGCGATCCTCCGGCCCATCTGCTCCGGCAACCTTTGAGCGCCCTGGGCCTCTGGTATCCTCCGGCTCTTCCTCGCGGGTTCCGGGGCGCTCTCGTGGTCCGGCTCCTCTGAAGGGGCCCAAGAACACACAAATAAATACACACAAATAAGAATATGTCCATATTTTCTCACATTTTCTGTGTTTTTGTCTTCCCCCCCAATTCCCATATTTTCCCATGTTTTCCTTGGAGTCGACGATTAATTGTGTCTGTGTGTTTTTTCCCCTCCTGATCCTCCCTGTCCTCCCGGCGTCTCTTGCGAGACTCTGCGGCAGCCTCGTCCGAGGCCCTCGCGTCTGCGGCCAGAGGGCGGCTGGCACCTCTGAGTGGCTCGCGCAGCACGGAGCGCTCACGCCCTGTGCGCCACTGATGGGGTCTGCAGGCGTGCGACGTGCGTGGGCCGCTCTCCCTCCAATCTTGGGCGGTGTGCAGACCTGGAGCAGCTGGGGCCGCAGAGTCTGCACCGCAAGCAGATCTGTCGTGCGCAAGTGCGCCACCCCAGGCTCAGCGGCCACGCATTACTCTTAGGTCGGGCCTGTCCCCCCTACAGGGGGATTTTGGACGAACAATGAAACATATCCCATAAAGATCCCAAAGGTGCCCAAGCATTCTCAACAAAATACTCCCCAGACTATCTTTGTACCGTTTTTGAACACTCCCCCTGTAGAGGGACAGGCACGACTTAACATTACTCGGCGAAGGGATGCGACATTAGGGGACCGAATGCGAACTCTACCCCTGCCCCCTACGATTTCTGAGGGGGGGGGTGGGGCTCACTTCGCTCGGGAGCTCCCGAACGGACTGAACCCCACCCCTCCGCCCCCAGAAATCGTGGGGGGTAGGGGTAGGGTTCGCATGAGCCCACCTAGAAAGATTCAATACAGATCAACAAAAAGGTGCCCAAACAGACTCACAAAGAGATACTCCCCAGACCATACTTGTACTATTTTTGAATCGTCCCCCTGCGGAGGCACACCTGGACATGCAGAGAGGCCAGGGCAAGAGGGCGACGGGCGAGGCGCCCACACGGGGGGGAAGGAGGGGGGGGAGGAGGAAGGGGGGTGGGAGGGGGGGGGGAGGGAGGGATGGAAGGGGGGGCGAGGGGGGGGGAGGTGGGGGGGGGCAAGCTAGGTGCGCTCGCGTCATATCTGACGTCCTACCCCTCCCTCCCATCCCTTACCATGGCGCTGATTTTCTCTATCCGCGGACGCGTGTCGTAGCGGACCTGTGGCTCCGCGCGCGCGTGCGTAGTGGGTGGTGGTGCGCGTGCGTGCGTGCGTGCGTGCGTGTGTGCGTGTGGTGCTGGTGTGGTGCTGGTGGTGTGTGGTGGTGGTGGTGATGGTGGTGGTGGTGTGGTGGTGGTGTGGTGGTGGTGGGTGGTGGGTGGTGGTGTGGTGGTGGTGGTGGTGGTGGTGGTGGGGTGGTGGTGTGGTGTGTTGGTGGTGGTGTGGTGGTGTGGTGCGCGCGTGTGGCGGGCGGATGGGCGCGCGAGAAAGAGGCCCGCGCTGGGGCGAGAACGCCATCCTGAACGACGGAGGCCAAACACCGATCCGAAAATGAGGCCCACGCAGCAGCGGGAGCACGATTTCGGAACGATTCAGGAGCAGAAATGAGGCCGGCGCCTCAGCGAGAGCAGCATTTCGAAAAAAGAACGCAGGCGAAAACCCGTTTCCCGGGCATCCTGTGTGTAAAAAAACGGTACGCGGGGGGCGTCGGATACTTCGGACGCCATCAGGGGAAGCGGGAGAGTATTTTCACATTGTGTAATTGTGGAGGAGGAGGGGGAGGGAGGGAGGGAGGGAGGGAGGGAGGGAGGGAGGGGGGGAGGCGCAACAGCACGGCCTGGCACTCCTGCTCGGCGCGCCGCGGCTGCCGCGCGGGCGGCGGCGGCGGCGGCGGCGGGGGCGACAGCGCAGGGGCCCCACGAGTGGACGGCGCGTCGCTCCGCTCCGCGGGGCCAGGCGGGCCAGGCGTCGCTCCGCTCCGCGGGGCCACGCTCCTCCTCCTCCTCCTCCTCCTCCTCCTCCTCCTCCTCCTCCTCCTCCTCCTCCGCTCCGCGGGGCCAGGCGGGCCGGGAGCGTGAATGTAGAAAACAAGCGACGAGAACCAGTGCGAGCGCAGTCTGCCAAGCAGGCTGCCCACCACGGTCTGCGCCAAGACTGGAGGCCAACGCGCACAGGGGAACGAGCTGCAGCACGAGGCGTGCCTCCTGTTCTGCAGCTCAGTCCTATGCTCGGGGCGCTCGACTCGAGCGCCCCGAGCAAACCAGGGCCGGCGCACGGGCGACGCTCGGGCGACGCACTGAACGAAACTTAGGGGGGGGGGGAGTGGTCGCTTGACTGGGCCTTAACACGCTCGAGGCTCGGCTTCTGGAGCGTGGCTAGGCGTGCCGCGCCGGGGGCCCTTGGGCCCGAGCCCGCGGCGCGACGCGCCGGCCCAGAGCTCCCGACATCAACCGTGCAGGCAGCCAGCGAGGCCACGCTCTGCTTCTCCGTCTTCTTCCTCGTCGCCATCCTTCTCGTCCCCTCACTCTCTTCGTGCTCCTTCTCAGCTCAATCCTCCTCCTCTCTCCTCTCTCCTCTCTCCTCTCTCCTCTCTCCTCTCGATCCCTCTCCTCTCTCACTCTCCTCCTCCTCCTTCACCCTCATCCTTCTCCTCCTCCTCATCTCCTCCTCCTCCTCCTCCTCCTCCTCCTCCCTCCTCTCTTCGCGCTCCTTCACCCCCCCAACCTACCTCCACCTCCTCCTCCTCCTCCTCCTTCCTCCTCCCCCTCCCTCCTGCTCTCTCCCCTCCTCCTCCTCCTCCCCCCTCTTCCCGCCCAAGTCCCCCTCCTCCTCTCACTCCTCCTCCTCCTCCTCCCCTCCTCCTCCTCCTCCTCCTCCTCCTCTCTCCTCCTCTCCTCCTTATCCTCCCCCTCGTCGTCCTCCTCCTCCTCCTCCTCCCCTCCTCCTCCTCCTCCTCCTCCTCCTCCTCCTTCTCATCGCACCTCGCTGCAGCGCGGCGCTCCCTGGTGAAAATCTCCCTGAAGTCCCTCCTCCTCCTCCTCCTCCTCCTCCTCCTCTGGGCCTCCACTCTGTCGGCGGTCCCTCGCGGACCCCCCCCCAAGGCGAAGCCTTCAAGAAATCCCGAGGGCCCCAAGACGACCCCACAGAGCCCCAAGACGGCCCCCAAGAGGGTCCAAGAAGGCTCCGCGACGCTGACAGACCGCCCCAAGACGCCCAAGATGTCCTTGAGACGACGCCCCAAGAGGGCTTCAAGAGGCCTTCCAAGAAGGCCCCGAAAGGCTAACATCGTCCCATTCCGATGGGAAAACGTATACTTCTAGCATGTGCGACTTTTGGGATTCTGAGCGTCCACGACGAGCCTACAAGCCCTCCAAGATCGCCCCAAGATCGCCCCAGAGACCCCGAAGAGGACCCCAAGACGCGCAAGACGGCCCCAAGACGGCCCAAGACGCGCCGAAGACGGCCCATGATGGCCCCAAGAGGGCCCTAGAGCCAGAACTCGAAATTACACTTCCAGCTTTCTGCCCCAACCGGGGCCTCCCAGACCGCCAGCAGGCCTCCAAGAAGCCCCCAAGAGGCCCAACCGAGGCCCAAAGAGGACCCCAAACGGCACCCAAGAGCCCCCAAAGAAGCTTCAGAACTGTCTCCAAGAGACTACCGACCGGATGTGTCAAACTCCCAGGGAGCGGCCGGTGATGCGCTGCCGGCGTTCTCGATATGATGATGTGTATACTAGATATATAACACTATTCGTAATGTAGATCTGAATATACGATTATACGTGCTTAATGGTCGTAGAGTTGATGGAAGAGTTGATGGAAGTATCCTTGTCCTCATCACTGTTCACTCCTCTTCCTCTGCATCCTCGTTCTCGTCCTCATACACCTTCCTCTTCAGCGTCCTTGTTCAAGTCCTCCTTCATTACCCGCAAGGAAAAGGCGAACGATGATGAGGAGGAGGTGGAGTAGGAGAAAGTGAGGAGTAGCAGCACGCACTGCGAGGATGATGTCAGAAAGGCTTGGAGAAAGAGGAGGGCGGGGTCATCAGGTGCACAGGGTGTGGCGTTCCATGCTGCAGAGTGACAAAGCGGCAGTAGGCAATGCCATTCAGTCATTATGCCATGCATCAACATCCTCCCTCCGATGTGCTTTGTTCAACACGCAGCCTCAGAGATCCCTTCCCCTTCCTCCGGGGTACCTGTTCGCCCCGGATCCATTTCTCATGGCCCCGGGGCCCGATAACGAGTCCAAGAGGCAGACATCGAGGAACAGGATCGAAACATCAGATCCTCGGAGATCTGGGAAACGATGCTCACGCCTGCGCCCGATCAGGCGTCAAAAACCCATCCCTGGATTTCTCCCCGGGCGCGTTCTGGCCAGGATCCCGAGGCGGACCCAGCCGTGGCCGAGAACGCGCCACGGGACGACCAAAGACCTCCAGAGAGCGAACCTCGAAGCTCGAAACTCAAACCTCCGAGCCAAAAAATCAGATCGTGCGCATGTTAGGATTCGGGCCAACATCTGGGTCAGGGTCAACATGCGCGCTAGGCCTGTTTCCGCCCGAAAAATCTGCACACTATACCCAGAAGCCCTGGGGGGGCGAGCGAGGGACCTGGTCGTGGGTCTGGCACAAGCTTCCCTCCCCGGGGCGTGTTTTTGGTACACTCGAGGTGGGCCCCGGGCGGTGGAATCCGACTGGGGCGGGGAGGGTGTGGCATACCAGAAAGATCTTGAGGATTGTTAGCGCCTGGGACAGGGCCAACATCCAGGTGAGGGCCAGCACCTGGCTCAGGGTTGACCTCGAACCTCCAACCTCTGAGCTCGAACATCTGGGCGAACGGCCCACATCAGCGCGTGTTCGGGCGTTGGCAGAACTGGGTCTAGTGGGACCTGGTTTAGTGAGGTGTACTGGGGGACGCCCCCCCCGCCCCGTTCCACTGACTGGAACTGCCGTCACCCGAAAAAACACCAGCTGCGGCAGACCTGGTTGAGTGCTTCTGGTCAATTTGAGAGCTCTGGGGCCCTACCACTAACTGGGTCCCCTTACCTGGGGTCCTGGCTACAGGGCAGTTTTTGATACATATGATTTTTAAACATATGCGATTCGTAATACATGACGAATGTATGAAAACATGTATGCAGGAGCTCATCGTTGTGCTTAATACTACATCCTTGCATTTTAAGACATGATCCGCACGCGGAGCATGTACTAAACACGGCACTGTATACCCGACATGTGCCTTTGGGCCCTGCCGAACCTTGCGGCCCACCGCTGGGCGCCTCCGCGGCGGGCGGCTGCGGCTCGCGCGCCTCCCCCCGCCGGCGCTTCGAACCCGCCTCCTCGCGTTCGGACCCGCGGTTCCGCGCAGAACTCGGCGTCCCGGCGC